TGTGATTTGGGGAGAAATCCCATTGTGTTAAATACGGATTACGGCTGGATTCCTATCAATAACATACCGCGATCTGCTACATGGCATATGCTCTGTGAACTAAGCTACGACCTGGCACAGTCAGCTCAGAGGTTTTACACTTGGATTCAGTTACCCACTCATCCTACGCTGTTATATGGAGTGTATCAAACGTTGAGTGAGAAACAAGGCCCAGCAAGCTTTCTCAAACCATTAACTGTGGAATCCAAAGCACCCTTCAGTTTTACAGTTATATTACCGATAAGTACTGTGGATGTGGTAATACTGTTTACAGTATTATTCGGCTATTAGAATGCACATTTGTAAGAGTTTGCGGTTTCCGTTTCTGATTTGAATCCAGCCAAACCTCTGGGTTTTAGCGATTGAGTATGTTCTAAGTTAACGAGTCTTTCACGGTGTTTATCAGTGTCATGTGATTTTACTTCGCTTCACCATGTGATTTTGCAACTGATTGCCGGTTGCCTTGATCGAAATCTGTTCTTACACTGCGCTCTATAATGAAGTACTTCGTGTGACCATCATTTTCTGTGTCCATTTGATCTAATGAACGTTGCAATTGAACAAATTGATTTTCATTTCCTATCCCGAGTATTGCGTGTGCATCAAGCTTGGATATCAAACCTCCACTTGAAAACCCTCATTAATTTAGCATTCGCCCAATGTACCGCTTTTTCTGTGTGTTTGTTTCCTTTGTGTTTTTCAATTCGCAGATGTTATCTTAATCTCATTTGTTTGTCTATAATGTATGGATGTTGAATTTTGGGGGTTAGTGCCTTCATGATGGCCGAATAGCAGTTTGCTGTTAGTACTAACCAGTACTAACATACCTCTGTCACTGATGGCACTAATTCCACTTCGGATTTTTCCAATTTCAGACATTAGTATACCAACGTGACAGTCAACTTTCGAGCACTGCTCGATTAACATGAATGAACTGAAAGAGCCGATGACAAAATATTGTGTAATGAACTAGATTCTTCAGTTATTGTGGTTGTCGATGTTCTGTTGAGAGTTTTGGTTTTTTTCGAACTCCAATAGTACCCACATTTGAACGCCACTTTCAGTATTCCGGTTAACCTTTTGGCATGCTTTCCTTTGTCCATTCTTGTTAGAATGCTCTGTACTTTTGTTGAGGGCAGAAATTATGATCCCCAGTCAACATATCACAGTAATTGAGAACATTTATAAGGTACAGCGAGGTTAAGGTTTTAAATTTTTTCCCCTGAAAATTGCAGAGAAAACATTAATACTGAATTTAGAAGTTTTTGGCTCTCTTCCTAGAGCGGGTGGCCATCGCATCTCTAGGCCATCTGCTGCCAAGCAATCATTTCATGTATAAAATGATGCATTCGAATCATCATCATAACAGCCATGAGCCTGACCAAAAGATATTGGGGATCGGGCCGCCGCTCACCTCAGCAGTGACGTGGA